ACTTAGTATTACATACATACATACATACGCTTTATACTGGTGGTGAATATTTTTTAAGAAATTCCCGCTTAAGTGGACCCTACTGTTCAAAGAAAATCGCGTCTAACAAAAAAAGTTCTTGATTTTTTGACCGAAGTTTCTGGTATCGGCTTTTACAGTGTAATAATAAGCATACCACATTGGAAGCAGCGCACAGCAGTAAGAGCCCATGAATGTAATATATTAAAATGTATGTCGTAGCAGCAGTTTTAGCAAAAACTGCTGAAGGATATTTCAGAAATGTCAAGGAACAAGTCATTCGACTGCAGAGCAAGATTTGGAGCAATTTATAGTGCTTCTAAAATTAAAGAGTACCTTTTAAAGAACAGCACGATTTGCAATCGGCCTTGGTTGTAACAATTAGCAAACATTAGAATTACTTGTCCCGAGAATTGGATTGGTAGCTCGTTCGAATTCTCTTTCAAAACAAAGTTCGTCCTAGCTCCATGTGCCTTTATTAATAAGGGAGCCACCTTAATAGCTTATGACTACATCTTTTCTTTAGAGAACTTCTTTTTTAAAGCACTTTCCAGTTCAGTTCTTTATTTCCAGGTTGTAATGTAATTACCATTCGTGATATACAAAGGACCTTAATCAACTTATCGCCACCTTTCCCGGCCCATTCCCCTCCCCCTTTCCTCCAAAAAGTGTACACAGCTTTTAAGTGAGCACGTGCGCAAATGTACAAATGTACAATAAATGTACACATTTATTTACTTATTGCCATCTTTCCCGGCAAAGCCCCCTTCCCCAGTGTACACAGGTTTTGATTGAGCTCGTGCGGAAATATACTTGAAGAAAATGTTTTAGTAACGTTTCAAACGCAAAGTGAAATATTAACACCCTTAAAAAGTAGGTTCTTTGTGTGGAGTCCTCGGGAGTGCGTCGAGAGAATCGCGCTCGCTCAACCAGGAAATTGCGTATTTTATTTGGAATAAAATATGTTAGCGCGATAACCGTTCTGTTAAAAAGTGTAGCCGTCGTTTATTTCTGATGACTGACATCAAATGGAAAAGAATGGTATCATCGATTAATAAAATCCTAGCACACGGTGTTTTGATAAATTTCAGTAACGTACCATTGAGCTATTATTGTAAAACTCATATTGATAGTTTTATTCTTTTCTCTTAAAAAGTGCAAAATACTCCTAAGGTGGTGCGTGAGGCCGCCCCACAATCCCATCAAGGTAAGATCTTTCTTGTCTTAAGTTTGAATAATTGGACTTGGATGTCGAGAAGTAGTTTTACAGAAAAATTATGTAGTTTGGTGTAGTTAATTAACTTACATGTAATCGTTTTTATACGACTATCATATACATGTATTTACGGTTTCACGGTGAGTTCTTTTGTGCGTTTTCCAGCCGCGGAGTGATTACTCTTCGTTTTGTCAAGAAAGTAGTCATAGTTTTGTGAATGATGATTGACCTCAAATGATAAAGAGGGGAAACTTCAATCAATGAAAATCCTGGCACGTGATAAGAAAAAGAAATCAACAAAGTGTTTTTAAACTATAGTATCGTACAAGGCGAGGTAAAAAATTCACACAGTTTACTTTTTGTTTTACGCAGAAAAGTTTTGCAAATTAGTGGTGAAGTTATGCAGACCCCGTGCTGGCTAGTCCTTAACTTGTGATTGAAACCCCAACGGCACTGGAAAGCCGACGTGTCCCATTAACAGCAAACTGGATGTAACGAAATTAAATGTAGTTGTGAAATTAGTGTCGGTGTTACAGTTGATTGAAATAAAGCATTGAAAAGGTATCTTGTGGTTGTACTCAAGTACAAGGAACATAGCCTGCAGGAGGAAGGGTAGGCAAGGGGTCAACCTGTCCCTTGGAATCATTTTTTGACTCGCCTCAAATCTCGGTCAGTTGAAAGTCCAAGTCGATTACAAAGAAAAATTCGCCTGCATTGCAGGCTACAAGGAATGTAATAAAACTTTTCATTGAGAAAGCCAATGCTAATCACCCTACTATCAAGTTCACTACTGAAGTATCACCAATAGAAACTACATTCTTGGACAAAACAGTCTATAAGGGAGAACGATTCGAGAAAAAAGCATCCTCGATGTTCGTACACATTTTAAGTTACTGAAACACTTTAGTGCACACACTTCAATAGCTGTCACCCAGCAGGCGTTAAGAAAGATTTTGTCAAAGGAGAGGCTCTCAGGGTTGTAAGAAGAAACTCTTTTAGAAAAGTTAAACATAAAAGGAAGGAAGCTCTGAAGCAAAACTTGAGAACGGTGAAAAAGATTCCAACCTTTGTCACGCAATTTCAACCGTCATTTCCAAACTTGAAAAACATATATACTTGTGGAAAAATGGCATCTAATCCAGAGCCAGCCGTGACTCAGAGAGAAGGAGCCTCCCTTGCTCTCTTATGGAAAAGGGAAATCACTAAAGAGACATGCTTGTTAAAACAAAACTTTAAACTTATTAGGATTTGAAAGACACAATGGACGCGCACAGGAGTTGTACAGGTCTAAAAAAGCCAAGAAGACTTACTGGTTTGATTATTTATTGAAATTGGAAAGACACTGCGTTGACTTCAGTTCTCGTGGCTTCTTTGTTAAGAAATACCCATTAAACTTTGACAAACTTTTTGTTATAAATTCTTTGGTTTAACGCGATGGCCGGATAGGAAACTTTGAGATGTCGAAGAATCAATCACTCGGCCTCAGAGCAAGGTTTGAGGAATTTATATTGTTTCAAAAAACGCAGGGTACTTTTCAAAGCCGGAATGGAAAAATTCACGATCGGCTTGGTTTCATGATTAGCAGGCAGCGGGAAGAACTTTTCCCTAAAATTGGAATTGTAGGCTCGTTCTATATACCTCAGAGCAATTTGTGGTCGAAATTCCAAAACAATTTGACAGCTGTTAGAATTCTAAATGACTTTCTAGTTATGGACTTCTGCTCCAATAATTTCTCTGACATTTATTTGGTGATTATATAAGTAAAATCGGATTATTTACCATGTATTGTTGAATGATAGTTAAAAAAAAAAGCCGGTTGGACATCGGGGCGGAGCCCTCACGTATAAAACTTTGTTAAGTGCCTTCACACCCCGTCCCCGGGACCGCATTCGGGTCCCGTTCTGACGACCTACACGCTAAATAGAGAAATTGAATAACCCGTTTAAGATTTAAGACCTTGAAAAGCATATCCCGTTAAGTGGCACATGCCCGTTTAGGCTAAGTAAGGGAATGCCCACCCCCCGGACCGAGCTGTAATATGTACCGCTTGAAGAAGAAATAATTAACAATTAATGAATGAGGCTGAGTATCTTATGAAGAATTATGGAGATCGAGGAGGCCTTTATCCGTCGAGGCCGTAGGCCGAGGCGGTTAACACCCTCCGAGATCTCCATAATTCTTCATGTGATACGAAAGCCGAATTCAATCATTGTTTTATTATTCATTCAAAATAGTTGCAAGTTTAAAAACAAGGCTAAAACAAGCTTAGCTGCATCGATGTTAAGTTTATCTTCGATAGTTTACGTTTAGGTTTGTCTAGCTCCGCAAATATTCTCCAAATAGCAGATGTCGCCTTCCGAGTTTTCTTCTTGCTGTGTTTGCTATATAAATTTTTAGCCATTATTTTGCCTAGTTCCAGCTGTAGTTCTTTCTCTTGAAACGGGTAAGGTGTCTGCCACTTTAGTTTTTACAACAAAAACAATTCAATCTCGTCCCAGGTCTTTTCGGTTAACGGTGCATTAACCTGCAGAAGGCTGCATTATTGACGTCATTTCCTCGTTAAACACAAATTTCTTCTAAATTTGGACAGCAGTAACTGGTAATGGTGAATTATGCGTGTGCTTTTAGCCAATCAGATTTGGGGAAATATTTTGAATGAATAATAATTGACGTTAAGGACTAAAAGGGTAAAAATTGGGTAAATGAAGCTACTTTAGACATATATTTTAAAACTTATTGATAAGGGTGGGTATGCCAACATAGTTATCGTCTCGAAGTCATTTTGTTTCCCCTCAAATCATTTCTAAATAATCTTACCCTCTATAACTCTGGTCATGTTTTGAGCGCTTAAATTAAAGGCAGTAAAAAACAGTGTCCTGACGTCAGAATGTCTAACGTGTAACAGCTTTACTAATATCACAACAGTAGTATAGGATATGGGGGTGCGAGAACATTTTCAATATTATGGATTTGACCTTGGGTTTTTGATGACGTCAGCATTTTTCTCCGAATTGGATTCCAGGAATTTGGCCTTGGGAATCCGGTTTGAACCGGTTTTGGGCGGTTTGATTTTAATAATATCTAAGCCCGACCATATCACTATACCGAAATAGTTTGCGACTATATATTATTTTGGTTTTTGAGTCAGGATCTGGCTGATAGTTTTGATATTTATCCTCATTTGTGAATACAACATGATAATGATTATTGCTTATTTTTTTGAGTCCAAAATCTAATCTGTCTATATTTGCTTTTCAATCATATCCAATATTTTGTCGACTATTGGATTTTCAATTATTTTCTTTTTATAAGTATCTAAAATAGGGCCTAGATAAAAGCTCTTACCGCATTTATAATCAGCTTTTTCTATTGCTTGCTCAGGCTCAATGAGTACTGATCCTTTGTATCCTTCACAAGTATGTTTTATGATGCCAGATAGTAGTAACAACCCACGGCACGAAATTCTTGGTTCTTTTAGCTGGTTTATTTGCTATAATGCTGATTTTAGAGCGGTTTTCGTGTGCTTTTGTACGACTTTTGACTTAATATTTGAGACAAGGCCCAATTCACTGGTTAATTTTTGTTTACTAAGGCTTACTCTACCATTTGGAGGAATATACATAGATATCAAACTAGTGCCTCCTGATAGAGATTGTTGTTTGGCTAAAAGACGGATAAAATCTTCCATATACATATTGTATATAATTATGGAATATAAAAAAGGTGTGTTAAATAGATACTGACTTGTTTTTAGTTTGTGGTAATT